GTCATATTCGACCCCTTTCACAGTACTCACCTTACCTTTCACTCTACCGCCGTGTCTACCTCTATTACATCTGTGAATCATTATTCTGTTCCCCCTCTCCACTTTTGTAGGCTTGGTGACCCTCCTCTCTGTAAAGTCCGAAGTCCGAAGGGCTAACGATAATTATCATAAAGCCTGCCATTTGATATAAATAAATATTCCAAGACGCTAAATTTCATATTTCAGGATTTGGTTCCTTGGTCTGTGAGAGTGAATGCGTGGAAGCGATAACCAGAAATTAATGAGTAGTTGATTAATCTAAATGCCCCATTGATCATATCAACTTTGATTCACATGGCAAATACACAAGAAGAAAGGCAGGAAATACCAGGGTTTTAGCACACCAGAACACACACACACTTTCTCAGACAGTGAAATTACTTCAAATTGTCATTTATAAAATGTCAAAATTCAGCATTGACGGTGACGTTTACATCTAATAGTAAATCAGACAGAAACACGCTAATGCCAAACAATTATTTTCCATCTCAAAAGAAGTATGTTTTTGCTTGAAATTCAGGAAAAAGTGATTCTCCCATGTCAATGTCAATCAAATGTACAGATACCGTAATTAAGATAACCCTTAGATTGAATGGAGAGAGGCTCAATTCTTTCCTATTAAAAGAAACGCACTTATAAACGCAAATCATCATTAGTCAATCAATCTACTTCTCAATATTTGAAATTTGGAGGGACTTGAAGCACCACACTAAAGAGCTCTAACTTCAAAGAACTCCTTTTCTCATACAGAGTTCACCGCTTTGTAAGTGGCATTCAGTGTCAAAAAAAGAGTAAAGATGAATTCCTTTTGCAACATGATTGGCTTTCACCAGTAGATTCACTTATCCCGTTTGTTCATCTAAACGATCTGCACTAGGTGTTATTTTAGGGTTTTGTGGATCTTTTCAACGCAGTTCCCACTGCGTTATAAGTGACATAAAAACAGTCCCCTCCCNCCCCCCCCCCCCCCCCCCCCCACCCCTCCGTATTTTATTGTATCCACTAGGTCATAACAAACCCTTATTCGAAAATCCAGCACATGACTCGCTGTAAAATTACAAAGATCAGATTATCTCTTGACTCAAAGTAATGAACTGATTAACATTGATTGTATTAACTCAGGGAAGGTGAGCACCATCGATTTATCAGAAACGATTTAACAATCCTCGAAAGGAAAAATTTTTGGGTGCTCATCACGATATTATTTCTAAAGACATAATTCCTACATCTGCTCAAAAGTTCCGCTTTTAATGACTCGTTAAAGTTACAATTGAATTAATTTACGCAGAGTTGATAGATTTTTGCGCGGTAAAAGAAATCGCGAATTGGCGGAATACAAAAATGTCAACGAGTACTTTACTAACTTGAAAAAGAAAACCAATTGAAAGGGGTCAGATAATGCCATAAAATAACAGTATTTAATATTTATTAAAATAATAAAAATAATAGGTAAAATATTATTCAGTGGAATAAAATAAGGACTTTTCGAACCATACTCATATATGGGAGCGCTGTCTTTTACCGGGGAACAGTGTATTCCAAGTCCAAATACAACCATTTATCCTCAGGAAGTTAGAATTGGAATGAAAGGTGCTTGATGAACTTGAAAATTAAGGGACGGCAATAGAGAATGGATTGGAGTTATCAGGACAATTAGAGTTCAAGCTCAAGATAAAATAAAATTCAAACAGACATTAAGTCCTTCCCTCTAAAAAATGACTCTAAAAGCCATCCTCCATATTCATCTACTATTTATAGTTGATCAATCTATCCAAACTATTTGACGAAACGAAATTCCCGATTACATGAATTTTAAACAAAATAATAATGTATTAAAATGGACGTTTGGTAGAAACGAAATTCAACTTTATTACGCCCTCTCAGACTGTGGGGATGAGAGCATTTAACTTTAGTTGTAGCCAGAAGTCTGGTGGTGCTCTGGTGGTGGAGGAAGAGATGCCACGATTTCAATAACCATCGATGAACACCCAATGAGCGGAATGGCCAGTCACGCTGGTTATGTTCAACTAATACAGAGGCTAACAGAACTGGAATTTCTTTATGATGTCAACTCGCAATCCTTGATAAGAGTTAGGAAATGCGTTCTTGAAAAAGTTAGGATGTTGTTACTTTTAAAACATTTGTATTTTTCCACAACAGGATAATAGGTAATAAATTAGAGCCAATAAAATAAATGCTCTCACCCCAATGAAATAATGGATCATAATAAAAGCATAAAGTAAAATATCAAATTTAAAAACATTAGTTACCTGAATTGGTTCTTTCTCCAATCGATAATCCGCAAGAACTCGATGAATATACACCCTTCCAGGAATATTTTCGGCTCCAATAGCTGGTGCAGAAATAGCCACTTCATCAATTCCATCCCCATCAACATCCCCAATTCGAGCTATGGCATATCCAAACATTTCCCCAGATCGAGATCCATCCAAGGTGAAATTCTGCGACTTCTCATTATCTCTGAATTGGATATATACTTTTCCAGCATTTGCGCCAACTTTCTTCACATCTTCATAAGGCGCTCCCGCAATAACAGCTAAACCAGAACCAACGATGCCAGTCTCCACAGCAAATCCCAATCCACCAAACCTGCTTCCATTGATTGTCAAGATCTGGTTGTCGATATCATCCCCTAATCGGGTGATTTCAAATACCTGAATGTTAGACGGCGGAGAACCAACGATAGCCAGTGCTTCTTTCCTACCTGGAGAATATGGAGACCATGCAAGAGAATAGCCGAAAGAACCCTCATCTGAACCGAGATCTCTAATTCGCTGTTGTCCTCTCCCCAAAATATCATCCACAGTTCTAACTCTCGGGTTTGGAAATGCGAATGGAAGACCACTAAGCAGCTGGGCATTCTTTCCGTCATCAGAAAGACGAAGATCAATGGAAAAGCCTCCAGCACAGGGCTGTGTACGTCCGTAGGCAGAGCAGAATTCGATAGGGGTCCGTGACCACCACCGATCATTAGATCTCTCCATGATGTTGCATCGGCCACCGGGAAACCACGATCCCTGGTTGGAGTGTGAAAGGGGATCACAAAAAACTACTACGCCACCTGTAGGGAGATTCAAACTTTGTAGACCTTTCCCCAGTAACCCTGCATCTGTGTGATTCAGAATAGGAGAACCGGTATCTAATCCGAGTATTTCACAAGAGGTTATATCAAATCCACCCGGTTTATCAGGCAGCACATCGATTCGACAGCCAAAAACTGCTCCAAAATCGGTTGTAAACGCAGTTCCGGATTGATTTCGTTTAGGGGAAGTCCCTGCAGCTATAATCCAAGATTTCTGGGAGTTCGATTCTCGGAACATAGTGACACCTGTCCAGTGAAAAGTTGACGGGTCAAGTCCGCTAACATAATGAGGGGAATGTGGCAATTGTCGAGTAAATTCAGATAAAAATCCTTCGTGAAGATTGGGGAAATTCACTGGTCGGAAAAGCTGTTTCTGAGCATCTAATCCAGTTGAAATAGGAGGAAACCACTGAGCTGATGAGGTGGCAAAAAGTAACACGATGAGTCCGAATATTGACATTCTGACCGACGTCAATTGAACAGCCTTACGCAAGAACATATGAATGTCTCCAAGGCGATTTAGCGGGGGTGGTGTAAGTAATACGACCAGGGCTTACCCCCACCCTCTTTCTAATTCGTGGGTTTAGTCTATACAGCATGTCATTGGCGAAGTAGCTAGCAAATAGAGAGACGCACAGGGCGTTTTAACCAATGGCAACGCAAACACTTATGACGCATCCTTAGATAGACTATGACATTGTCCTATCAGCTGTCTTGGCTTTGCGCGATTTCCTACATTTGGTATATTGACGTCAGTTGGCAATCGATTTATGATCAAAATTCAAACACTATTGTGACACATGTTTTAAGATGAAGTAGAAGATATAAATTTGCATGTTAAGATGGCAAGAGTTTCCATTTATTAAAGACACTGATTCTCAATGAGATTTCGGCAATGTTTCAGTCGAAAATTTTTCTTTACTAATAATGAAATTAGAAATCATTGTTTTACAGAAGATATGGGTAATTTTGGTAAAATAATTTATTTTGGAAATTCCTACTTTATTAATTTACAACAACTTAACGAATCCTAGCCGGAACAGAGACTAAAAGCTATCTGCCAACTCCAGATACCGCAGTTTCAAAAATCGGGAAGAGAGAAAACGAACCTATTGAATGACAGCAGCAGGAAATCGTGAGTAGGAGATGGATGGCATAAAAAGTGGAAAGAAGGAAATGAATTGAAATGGGAGTGGGGGGGGGGGTGGAAGAGCAAGAACAAAGCGTCTGCATACACACACACAAGCCTAATAGTCGCCGAAATTAGGATTTTACAGGGGTAAATTGTGCCGACTAAGGGCGCCTTAAGGAAACGAAAAGAGTTTAAAACCAAGTAATGTTGGTCAACAATAAAATTTCGAGAAACATATAAATCCAGTCCTTAAAAACCCACCGTGTGATGGTCATCCAGGTGTTTATCCTTGTGAGAGCACGTAGAAAGCGGATATAACAGATTTACATCTCCCGTTAAAGTTATCACTACCAATTCAACCTGTTAAAAATTAGTCAATGCTTTCAAAATGAAAAAAAGATAATGAGTCGAAGATGGATGAAGATTCAAAATAGACCTAATTCCATTAAGAAGAAACTCGGGGTACGTCGATAACATGCACCAATAGCGTAATTGGCAAAGTATAGTGACCAAGTGGACAAGATTTTGGTCGTATTTTGATTGAGAAGTGTCAGTTTTCTATTTATTAATTCAAAAGTAGAATTGAAAATTCCATAATCCTCGTATTCTTGAAATTCAAGCTTTATTATAAATAAAATCATTTAAGTGAGGTTATATATCGAGATTGTTTAACCAATTGCCAAATCAATATCCGAGAGTGGATTTTTGATTGTTCATCGAAATGTTCTTATCTGATTTTGCCCTATTTGTACCATACGAATTTCTAGAACATTTTTTATTCGAAGCTGATGAAAATTTAAAAGTAAGTTCCATAAATTACACTTTTAGTTGAAGCAAAAAATGTCCGTCATTTTAATGAATTTAAGTTGAAATAGTATCAACGACTAACAGCAATTTGCTCTGTTTGACCTTTGAAGCCAATCATCGAAAACTTTTACTACTTATAACTTTATCAGTAGCACTACAATCACAGGTCGTTTGTTGGTGGTTTTAATCTGTCAAGAATAGGCAGGCAGTTCTCATTTCAAAGCGTAGAAGATAAATAAATATAGATCGGTACTACATTAAATAAGCCCATAGGTTTAAGTTTCATCGCATTATCCCTGGGAATAACTAAGGAAATTTGGCTTCCACCAAACTTAGCAACAGGGAGAACCTCAGAAATAAAGGCTGAGATGAAGGTAAAACTATCTAAATTGATGGCTAAAACAAAGCTACTCTGGTAAACCATGGGATAACTTTTACAAGACAAAATAGTTGTTTTGGAGGGAAATAATATAAATTTAACCCCTTGACGCCCGAATTATATTTATAAAAAAAATGCATCCAACCGCACTCTTGTGTGTCCCACGACAGACTGATGCAGCCGACGTGATGAGTTCAGGTGGCATCAGAGGTTGGCTGTGGACTTATTGAACGCGTTTCAAATGGCAGTAGCGCCTCCTGTTACGAGTCTGATGCCAATGGAGGTTATTTGAAAGAGGGCCGTACGGTTCTGCAGGGCGTTAAAGGATTAATACAGCACCTTGCGGAATTATTTATTTATTTATATCGAATGGCAGGCGTTTTGATGGCTATCATTAGCCCTTTATTTGACTTCAGGCTTCACAGAGAGGAGGAGGAACATCAAATTGAAAATAAGTCTAGAGGGGGGGGGGGGGGAACAGAAGAGTGTTTCAAAGATGTAAGAGACAAACACAAAGGTAGAACAAAGGTGAGGTGAGTATTGTGAAAATAGTCGAATATGGCATAGAGTGAGGTGATGGTAGTTTGAAGTGAGAAGTCAACTGCCAATCAATAGACTTTTTTGCCGTATGAATATACGTTGCCCAGGGTGCACCACGTGGAGGTAAGTCTATCGGAATTATAAACCAGGGAGAGAGCACATAAAAGAAGTCCCTCATACTGATGCAATGATGTAGAAAGCTTAGAAATAATGACAGAGAATTTGAAATGATTTTTTTTCAAAGTAGGCGTTTACTGTTTTGTAAGGAGGCGTTGTTTAAAATAATCGGGAAAATGATGCAACCGATCCATTTAAATGCAAATTTAAAGCAACTTACCGACTTTCATTGTCCAGATAAGCAAAACTGATATTTTGTGTTATTCAAATACAGGTAAGTAAGTAAGAATGCAAGTTTCTAATCAATCGGTGTAGGATAAATTGATTACGAAAACACCGATGGAAAATCAGCCATTTCAAAGGTATGAGTTAGAACTCCGTTTGTAACCAGACGCGAGAAGAAGACAACTCTGTAAGATTTCTTCTAAGTAGATCAATTTTCCAACATTATTCATAACCAATAAATTTTATTCCAGTAATGATTGAGATGTGCAACTTCAAAGCAAACAATATGTCTTTGAACAGGAGTTCAACGGCGGCAAGACTACTAAAATTATAACTATAAATTATGCCAATTGGTAGTAGTCTATAGATGTCAATTGCAGTTTAAGGTTTCTAATAAGGCAATATGAATTTAAATAATGCACGGAAAATGAAAACGAGGTAAAGTTGTTTGATAATGAGGTGTTAAAATTTGTGGCTGAATCGGACACTAGGTTAACTAAGTAAGAATTATCACCAAAAACCGTGTAGCCATGGCCAACTGTGAATTTGCATTTGAAGCTCATGAGTAAATGGAATAGAATGAACATTCAAGTGTAGCATCAGTTCTTCTCGTATAACAAAGATGAGAGAAGAATGATGATCATTTTCCTCTTGTCTTGGCAATCAGGAATTCATTCTTACCTACACCACGTCGCTAGTGGGGGTGAGGTGGATAGTATATGATTATGGGAGTGGAAGGAAAACGCATATGTTGCGTCCGGACTAGAACTTCAGAAACCCTTGTATGCATTTTGTTGAAAGCAAGTGAAATAATTGATTACGAATCGCTCAAATAGGGAGAAACAGTCATGCTTTACTCGCTGTACACTTGCTTACTTTATATCATTGGGGATTAGTCAAGCCTTATTTGCGCAGTGATCAGCTACATAACTGGTGATCCTGACGTTATTTGCTCAACTGTGACCACATTTCTCCCTGATACTCTAATAGTTCATTACCTTTATATCGCATAACATTCCTCCTCTAACCAATTTCATCGACTCGCTCCTTCCATGCTTCCTCGCTAACGCGGAATGCCTTCGGAAACAGATTTCAGTGTGAATGCATTGAGTGCTACGCCCTATTATTTCACTCTCACACCAACAGATCCGCATATCTGGTCGTACAACTGGAAAATATTTTCATGCTATGAGGCGTTACTAAACAAGGAGACAGACGATAACTGTTATGACACTCTTGAAAGAGCCGTCACCAGTCGCCTAACAACGTTGCAAGAGAAACGCCTACATCAACTGCCTGTACGAATTGAGTTAGTTTATTGCAATCCTTCTCAACTTTTACTCCACATGGGCTTCATAGCCAGTGGCAACAGATTGATTGACAGAATTTTGAAGAGTTGTGGTTGAAATGTCATTCTGTAGAACTTGCCTCAATGTTAGCCGTCAGTACCCTCCAAGATAATCTAGACAAATTAGCTATAGTGGCTGATCACATTCACGACCTCCACGATAAGCCCCCGTTGTCACCATATTGCAGAAGAGGAATTAGAGCTACTCGTTAAGGGCATCTCCATCTGACATCGTAACCAAAGTTATTACCATCACAGAACGTGTAGAGACAATACCAAGAAAAGCCAGCCAGGTTATAAATATCTCAAGACCAAAATGACTAGCTATCGGGGAAAAAATCAACACCAGGCAATAAGGAAGACCACTGATCCTGACCATTCAGCTAATCGACTCCTCCACGTAATTGGCAGAAATTTCTTACCCTAATTTCTGGTAGACACCGGCTCCGAAGTTAGCTTTTTCCCCCGTTCTGCAGAGAAAAAAATGCTTGCTACAACACATCGGCCCCAACCTAATTGCGATAAACAACCATTTTTTCTAACTTTCATGCATCTCTTGACTGGATGATTATGTGCAATTATTGAGCGTTTTCTCCACTAAGACACGTTCTGAAGAGTAAGTAATATGGAATATAGAATGTTAACACGATTAAACTGCCCACCCGAACATTCTGGAGGGTGGGGTCACGCGTGTATTCTACTATTAATCCCGTTTGCTGTGATCGTAATTTCAATTAACGATATGCTCGCTGTGAGCTTGCTACTTCTATTCCATGGGGATAGGTTAACTAATTCTGAGAGAATATCCACACTAGGAAATTATGCCATAGAGATTGCTGAGGATAAGTCCAGGCTCATTCGTATTTCTGAGGCCTGCTCAGATAGATAGATAGATATATTATGTTCATTCAAAGTATGCTAGATGTATGGGTTAGCTAATCATGTTTGCTGTTATCATAATTTTCAATGAACGCTTCACTCGGAACATGTCTTCCTCTTTTATACCATTGCGATAGTTCAAGTCCAGGAGCCTTTCCAACTAGGAAAACTTGTCATAAAGCTTACTGAGAATAGGTCAAGGCTTATTTATGTACCAATCCGCTAGAGTATAAAGGAGGATATAAAAAAACTACAAGAGCGTTGGTAAAGAGTTGCAAATGACGGCAATAAACATTGAAACAAAAATAAGATGTTAATAATGCTTTTAAAATATACGAATTTGTATTGATACTCCTAATAAAATACGGAGAAACCACGTTACAGGGAATCAAAAAGCATTTCTATCGGCATAAATATTGTAAAATGGTGAATAAGAAAGAATTTGAAATAGTCTCTGAGTGGAAGAGAATGCCGTCTTTTCACCACATTCAATTAATAAAGCAATTACAAAACCAATCTCTTTTATTAATAAACAATTGGCTTAACAATAGATAGTTTAAGGAGTTATAAAAGTTAAAACACCAGTGCAGCATTCACATAGAAGCGCAAGGCACATCTCCTCCAGAAAGAGGTTTCGTTTTAGATAGCTCAGCTCTGAGCTCATTCTCGAATGCCAAAAAACAATCTGGCTTAGCATACTAGGACCATGCCAATTAAAAAGATTATATTTCTTACCGATATAACGAGAGTATTATTGGCGTGGTTCTTTGATAACAACGAAGAATCTAATCGGATTCCTATCCTCTCAAGATCTGGAATGGTTATTCGTTTGAAATATCTACAAGTTTGGCATTGGGACTGGCATTTATTTGAGATTACTTCTTATTTGTCGTACGAAGCACAATGACAGAGTCGTCTTCGATTGATAGCTGATAAGTGTCAATGGGATAAGGGAGATTGCGAATCCGCCACTGAAAAGACTGCTTAGTATCCGCGCGACAGAATATAGGCTAAACCAAATTAGGACATAAACAGGAAATACATTGGCGGCAGATTCTCTGATAACCGAACCAGGTTTTTCGGGTTCTTGCCCGATTTCATAAGTCCAAATACCTTCGCCACCTACCATTGGAACCCGCTTCCATTTACGTTCTGACATAAAAGGATAATAACGACGAGAAAATGATTACCAATAATTATTCCAGAGTTATTATCATACTGTTCAGTCATTTCTTTGCCATCGGGAAAATTGTAATGGACTTTCGTTCGACCTAAGTACAAAATAGGAATAGCTTTAAGATGATTCACGTGAAAATCATTATTCATTAGAAAAATTAATAAAGAATTGAATGCTGAATAAAACACAGGATACATGAAACAAGTACTTATGTGTGGGAAAACTCAAAATAGTAAAAAAGCAAGCTATTCTCAATTTGCATAATTAAAATTTAATACCATCTTGGACCAAAGTTGTCTTTTTTGCTTCCTTGATTGCTTTTAACCACTCTATCGTTGCCATAGAGAAAACGCATAATGAGGTTAAGCCAGTGTGTTTCAACGCTGAATATGCAAGGTCTTTTAAACCTAGGTCAACTCGTAATTGAATCTTCAAGGCAATATGACATTTAAGTAATAAACCATTTATTATCCATTATTATCTGAAAAAAACACCAAATTTAATTTTGACTGTATCCGTCAGCTTTCAACTATGATAAAGTACATAACTTAGGTTTCTTCATTATTTTAACAGAGAAAATGCAGAATCAGAATATATCTGTGTTGTTTACGTACAACAAAAAATTTTATTTTAACTCTTCAAGAAATAACTGAAATGAATTCGATCAACCAAATTATCTTTTAAATAAACCTGTCGAATCTTTTTAACTTGTTAAATTCATCAAAGCTTATAAAAAATTCGAATAGATACCATAATGATGCCAATTTATTGCAATAATCCATTTTGATCATTTTACCAAACAAAGCGAAATTGTATTATGATAAATAATAAGACATCGATATCATGTGGTAAGCATGATCTTGCGGAGTGCAAAATCCTATCACAATAAAACTAAAAAATCTCGTGCGCACTCGAGCATTCTGAGAGTTCTTTGGCAACGTATGATTAGAGGTGAATGTGAAATATATTCGATGTGCAAATCAAACCGAGAACAAGCAGAATAAATTTCGAATTGAACGAAATAAGTTCATTTGTAAAATTTATTACCTAAACAATTGAAGTACTGGTTATTTCTTTGCAAAAAGATTGCTTCAACCTTCCTCGCAAACAGTTTTCAATTGTGTGTTGGTGAACAAAAAATTAGCAGCAGATGAACTACTCTTTTTTGTCCATATTTCATTCTACGAATTTAGCTTGTTATTTTGTTCTCAAATTAATCCAAATTTCGTGCTAACCAGAGCATTTATTTGATCATGAGCAAAGTCAATTTAAATGATTATGGATATGCTCAATATTTACTATGCAATAAAAAATAACTGCATTGATCAGGCATGATATGACTAAATGAATCAAGTGGAGTCAAATTTGCAACATGCAGATAACACAGACTGCTTTTCTTAGAAGTCATTCTCATTTGCCATAACATCTACTTTAGTTCTTCAATAATTCGTTGGTGACACATACACCTCCGTGCAACTAAAATAAAGTCAAAGAAACTGCAATACAATTTATTGGCCATAGCATTCACCAACACAAACCATCCAAATATGTTCAACACATTGAATAACACTTCAACTCTCAAGCAAAATGCATGGAAAGAAAGTAAATTTCACAAGAATCTTATAATGGTGCATGCACAAGAAGGAAAAAGACACAAGAGATGGTGAGAGATAGAAAATTTAGAGGGTAAATAAGTCAAAGAGAAACGTGGATAAATAGGGACATGGCGCATAATGAGTCTCCTTTTTATCATTGAATCTGAAACTCAATCGTTAAAAACGTCGCGTTCACAATAGTTATTTCCACCGTCTTCAAGTCCATTTTCTGTCATCGCAAAGTAAGTAGGTTTCTGCTGTTGTGTCGGTGAATGCTGATCCGAGGTTTCGTGGACCTTAGAGTAGGGAGATGGGCTGTCCACCTCGAGGAATGAAGTTTCCTGATGGGTTTGTAGATCGCCGGGAGTTGCGTGCTGCTGTTCCATTAGAGCTTTTAGAGCTTCGTTAAGGGCGCTAAAACCATTCGCGTAGTACGAAAGAGTGGCGGCTTGCACTGCGCCCAGATGCTTCCGCATTACACGTGTCTATAGAGAGGATAAAGTGTTTTAAGGGTAGGTAGGAAGTTTTATTGAACAGGTTCACTTTATTAGCTCGATTGAGCTATCCTTATATGATTAACGCTAATCAATAAGTGGAGGTCTGGATAATGTGTCTTGCAGCTGCCTCTTACAATTCTCATTCCACTACCCCTGTTTTTTGCTGAGATTTTAACTCCTACAAGCTTAAACAGGACGTTTCGGAGTAACTCCGATTCTTGTAATGTAGCTTTTAACATAGCGAAAGTTTGGTACGACCTCATTTCAAGTAGATTTTCAATCAAACTACACTTTCCGATACTCCACGACTGCCTTGTCAAATAAAAGCCTTTAGCTGGTCTAAAATATGTAAATGACACTAACTGTTTTGCAGAAACGAAGATGTGATTAGGGACTTGGAGCTTTCTCCTGGTAACAGAAACCCAATAGAACTGGTGTGTGGAATATGGGAAAAGGATAAAAGTTATTGCAGAAAAGGTTGTCTGCAAACTCCAACCAAAACTAAATTCCCAAGTATCCGAATGAAGTACAGGACAAAGAGATGCAAATCAAAGCTCAAATAAATCGGAGATTATTTAAGGAAAAAACTCCGTATTTCGCTTTTCTCCTACTAATGGAAGCATCACACCTTTACGTCCAAGCCATACTTTTTAAGTGAAAATTGTATATTCATTTGTGTCGATTGAATAAAAAATGACACACACCAACACATATATATATAGTAACCAAAATGACCTTGAAATAGACGTTAAAGACTAAAGCAGAAGGAATAACAAAATATTCTAACAGTAAGTGTCCACACTTAAAGTTACTACTCCTCTCTTCGGAAACTAAACAGACTTCAAGTTCAGATGACAGCACGAGCGGGATCTGGGACAAATTCGCAATGCACTGCGATGGGGGGGGGGAAACAAAGACTAGCGTGAGAGAGGCCTTCAGATAACAACTTACTTTGAACGGCTGTAAAATCCTCTAAAGGAGGGACTTTAGGCAGTTGCATGGGTAGCTGCTGATGTGGTCATATAGTGGGAAGGATATTTGAGAAGAGAAAAAGTCATTTCCTACAAATGATTATTTGAAGAGAAATTTAAGCCATAAATAGTTTCATCAGTAAGCGTAAACAGGTGTGGTGGGCGCTAACACCAAACAAATAGGTGAAAATCTGAATGAATGGCGGCTGTACGTCACTAAGATGATGTGCATTAACTAAAGCAAAATAGAAGGATGAATGGCCAAGTGAAATAGGAGTGGATAGCCTGGTTAAGAAAATTGAAGTGAATTGGTGATGCAGATGTCTATAAGGTCATCAAAATAACTTTGAGTAGTACATTTTAGTCATACTTTAAAATTAATGACGTGATAAGACCTCAAGAGGATGATACCAATTATGCCCCAGCAACGAATCTTCAATAGTTTAATGTGGTCTATTCAATACTCACTCGGTTCTCGTGAAGCAACTTCATTTTTACATCCGTATCCTTCTTTAACGTCAGGTAGATCTCCTTTTGAGCAGCGAATTTCTGTCTCATCTGTTGAACATTTAACTCCAACTGGAGTGCAGCAGTTGTAGCCGATAAGTCTTCGGATGGTGGTTCACTGAAGGCTGGTTGGGGAGTTGAATTGCCAGTAGAAATGGCCTTTCCGGATGCCTTGGCCTCCAGTCGTGCGAGGTCATTGCGATGGGCGTCGTAGATTAGACGCGCATGTTCTAGCTGTCGAATGGTGGCGAGGGTGTCGGGTACGGTCTTTTTGCAAAATGTGTCTAAACCATCACAGAAGAGCTCGAGGGCACCTGCAGATAGTCATAGAAATTTTTAGCATGCCTAAAATCTCGCAATATTTTTTATCGTTACCAATAAATTAGTAAATGCAATGCCCCCCCCCC